TTTTTTTTTTTTTTTTTTGTATTTTTGCTAGAAACAGGGTTTCACCATGTTGCCCAGGCTAGTCGTGAACTCCTGGGCTCAAGTGACCCACCTGCCTTGGCTTCCCACAGTGGTGGGATGACAGGCGTGAGCCCCGTGCCCGGCCTGGTGCAGGACCTTGCCTGACGTCAACAGGCAGCACTGGCACTTTCCACACTGTGCAGGCCTGTGAGACCCAGAGCCCTGGGCTGTAACCTTGACCGTCCCCTGCAGGTTCCCCCACTGTCCAGCCTGGAAAGTAGGTAGGATGTACCAAGGGAAGACAATAAAATAAAATGTAGTCCTGCGCTTTGGTTTCATCACAAATTTTACTTTATATTTATTTATAAAAGCAAGTTCAAAGAAAAAGCGTAAGCCTTTTTAGCAGCTTTTTATCTGATAATCTGTTTTTTCTTTATTTTTCAAAGGGTCTGACCTGTGATCCATCCAAAGAGCTGTTAAAGTAGAACACTAGATGTTTATGTTTGCTCTTTCAACCAAGCCAGTGTAAACACCGAGCTGTTTTTTTAAAACCATTTTTCTGCCTGATAATTTCTAGACTAGGAAAACGATGACGGACCAAGCTGAACATGGAACAAAGGAGAGACGTGTTGGTGACAAGGACCTGCCGGCGCTGGCGCCCTTTACTGCAGAGATGAGTGATTGGGGTGTGTGCTTGTGAGGGGCAAGGAGAAGAGCAGCTCTGAGACTCTTGTCTGGAAAACGGGGACTTTGAGGAGTGGGCTCTCATGCAGAAGGAAGAACAGTCGGGGGACGTGTGGCCTGTGGCAGGTGGCTGCCGTCTCCACCTTGACTGGAGACTCGGTGTTTTAGGTTAGATACTTTAAGAAGACTTTTAGATTCTGGGTGGTTTTTTCCAGGTAGTCTTTGTAGATGTGGACATTTTCTAATCCAGTCTCTAATATTTGAGTGTGATCTCTAAAGCCGCAGAATCAGTTGATGCCCTGTCATTTTCCTCTCAGAAGCTGCATTCGTTCTCCTGACCCTCTTTAACAAAGCACAGACAGGTTGAGTGCAGAGCTCACACCTGTCATCCTAACACTTTTGGGAAGCTGAAGTGGGCAGATCACATGAGCTCAGGAGTTCGAGACCAGCCTGGACAACATGGCGAAACCCTGTCTCTATACAAAAAAAAAACAAAAATACAAAAATTAGCCAGGTGTGGTGGTGGGTGCCTGTGGTCCCAGCTACCTGGGAGGCTGACGTGGAAGGATTGCTTGAGCTCAGGAGGTGGAGGTTACAGTGAGCTGAGATTGTGCCACTGTACTCCAACCTAGGTGACAGAGCCAGACCCTGTCTCAAAAAAAAAAAAAAAACGCACACAGATTATTAAAGGAATGCCCCTGTGTGCGTCTTACCCATGGTCACACTGAAGAGCTGCTCCCTGTCTGTAGTCTGATTTAGCCTTTACACAGCCGTGCTGACGCCTGACCTAGGTGAGGATGTGTCCACAGCTGTTGAGAGCTGTTTGCATCTAACTGAAACTTTCCCCACTTTGAATACAGTAGATGAAATTCAGACCCCTAAAGCAAGAAAGATGGAGTTTTTCAATCCGGTGCTAAATGAAAATCAGAAGTTAGCAGTTAAAAGGATTCTGAGTGGCGACTGCCGTCCCCTCCCGTATATTCTCTTTGGACCTCCTGGGACTGGAAAGACAGTGACAATAATAGAGGCTGTTTTACAGGTAAGGACAGCGGCACCGCGGGTGCTGTGGCTCTGTGCTGCTGTTCACGTGTCGTCCGTGTCTTCAGGAAGTGTGGGTTTAGATTGTAGAATCGGACAGCTGGAAAGAGCTTGAGAAATACCAGTTATTTCGGCCGGGCGCGGTGGCTCAAGCCTGTAATCCCAGCACTTTGGGAGGCCAAGACGGGCGGATCACAAGGTCAGGAGATCGAGACCATCCTGGCTAACACGGCGAAACCCCGTCTCTACTAAAAACACAATTCAAAAAAACTAGCCGGGCAAGGTGGCGGGCGCCTGTAGTCCCAGCTACTCGGGAGGCTGAGGCAGGAGAATGGCGTGAACCCGGGAGGCGGAGCTTGCAGTGAGCCGAGATCTGGCCACTGTACTCCAGCCTGGGCGACAGAGCCAGACTCCGTCTCAAAAAAAAAAAAAAAAAAAAAAAAATACCAGTTATTTCATAATGTTAAGTCTGTTTATGTGGATATGTGGGGATTTAAAAGCTTATTTCATAGGTTTAGAAGGAAACTCATTTTTAGCCTAGTAAACTGTTTTATCTGAATCATGAAATTTTGCCGCAGAAGTAACTCTTGGAGTAGCTACAGCCACCATTCTGCAGAAGTTTTAGATATCTTCATTTGTAATTGAAGTTAAGTTTGTGAAAGTATTGTGTACAGATGCTTCTTGACTTTTGATGGAGTTACCACCTAATAAACCCATCGTAATGGGATTTGGGAAAAGCCTGTTTCAGGCTCATCAAGGCATGATCCGTTGTAAGTTGAGGAGCAGACTGACTGGGGATGGCCTTCACACCATCATACAGTCAAAAAAGCGTTAAGTCAAACCATTGTAAGTTGAAGACCGTCTACATTTAGCGTCATTCCGGATTCAAATTAGCAAACAGGTATTGAGTGCACAGTTGTACAACATGCCGGATGTGTGCAGATGAATCTGACTCCGTTTCTGCCCTGGAAGGTGGTTTAGAATCTTAGAGAGTGTGGAGAACCTTCCCACCTTACCCACGCCTTGGCAGCAGTATTATGAGGCAGAGTCGTGGCCCAGGTCTCAGCGTGTTGGGGGCTGGCATCTGAGCCCAACAGCTGAGTTCCTGCACCAAATGTTCATGTTGAACTTAGGCTCCTGGTTTCCACCTTGCATGTGGATGTTGAGCCTTGGTCTCTTGTGTGTCTTTGATGAAGGTACACTTTGCCTTGCCGGACAGTCGGATTTTAGTCTGTGCGCCCTCCAACAGCGCCGCTGACCTCGTGTGTCTGCGGCTGCACGAGAGCAAGGTGCTACGGCCAGCCACCATGGTCCGGGTGAACGCCACCTGCAGGTTTGAGGAGGTGAGCCCTTGTGAGCAGTGGAAGGGCACCAGAACCCCTCCGTGGAACATAGGAAATGCCAAGTGAGCAGGGGAGGGCAGGGATAGGAGGGTGGGCAGAGAGGTGCCACAGAAAGCCGTGTTTGAGAAATGGCTCTGAAGTGGGACCTTCCTCACCACTAAATAGTGGAGCTTGATTGCTGAATATTTCATCACATTCTCACTCTGTGTGAGTTATCAGACCTATTGTGGGCATTCGTAGCATTGTTAAATTATCACATTCCTCTTTTATTTAATCCCCAAATGTCTCGTTACTTTATAAGTTTTGTTTTGTTGGTTTGGTTTTAAGTATCCCTTTAGGGAAATTTTAAGTTGCTGGTTTGGTTATAAAGTATTGCTTTTATTTGTTTGTTTGTTTGTTTGAGACGGAGTTTTTGCTCTTGTTGCCCAGGCTGGAGTGCAATGGTGTGATCTCGGCTAACTGCAACCTCTGCCTCCTGGGTTCAAGCCATTCTCCTGTCTCAGCCTCCTAAGTACCTAGGATTACAGGTGTGGGCCACCACATCCAGCTAATTTTGTATTTTTGGTAGAGACAGGGTTTCACCATGTTGGTCAGGCTGGTCATGAACTCCTGACCTCAAGTGATCCACCCACCTCTGCCTCCCAAAGTGCTGGGATTATAGGCTTCAGCCACTGTGCCCGGCCTGAAATATTGTGTTTAAAAAAGACATTGAAGGCCGGGCGCAGTGGCTCAAGCCTGTAATCCCAGCACTTTGGGAGGCCGAGGTGGGTGGATCACAAGGTCAGGAGATCGAGACCATCCTGGCTAACATGGTGAAACCCCGTCTCTACTAAAAATACAAAAAACTAGCCAGGCGTGGTGGCGGGCGCCTGTAGTCCCAGCTACTAGGAGGCTGAGGCAGGAGAATGGCGTGAACCCGGGAGGCGGAGCTTGCAGTGAGCCGAGATCGCGCCACTGCACCCCAGCCTGGGCGACACGGCGAGACTCCGTCTCAAAAAAAAAAAAAAAAAAAGACATTGAAAATAGCTGGGTGTGGTGGCATGCGCCTGTAATCCCAGCTACTGGGGAGGCTGAAGCAGGAGAATCGCTTGAACCCGGGAGGCGGAGGCTGCAGTGAGCTGAGATCGCACCCCTGGGCGACAGAGCAAGAGCAAGACTCCGTCTCTAAATATACAAACAAATAAACTGAATAGAAAATGTACAGAGTTGTTTTGGGAAAGGATCTGCAGAATTATGTGTTATATGTGACTCTAGAGTTGATAAAACATGGACTGAATTGATAAGGAAGTATGAAGTATTCTGAGGAAAAAACCTTAAATCATGACTTAGACATAACTAAGAAGTGGCACCAGGGCAAGGTTCCCTTTTGGAATTCTTTTTGCCCTGGTGATTCCGTCCAGTTTATAGAAGTGCTTAATAATTGGAGGAGTAAACTCTATGCCTCCTTGCCCCCAGATAGTTATCGATGCCGTCAAACCGTATTGCAGAGACGGAGAAGACATCTGGAAAGCCTCACGCTTCCGGATAATCATCACCACTTGCAGCAGCTCAGGGTTGTTTTACCAAATAGGAGTGAGGTGAGCCCTGGGCGTGGAGTGCGGCGCGGGACCTCCCAGAGCAGAGGTCGGTGTCCTCTCCTAGCTTCTGTCTGAGGGGCGGATGACCCAGAGACTCAGTGCTCAGGGAGGGAGGCAGGGCTGTGGGCGAGAAAGGCTGGTTGGGGAGGGCCGTGCTTGAATGGAGCCGGGGAGGCCGAGACCCCAAGGACTCGAAGGAGCCAGCAGTGGGATGGGCAGGCAGATGGACTGGCCCGTGTAGAGGCCCCACAGTTGGAGAATGCTGAGGTCTCCCCAAAGGAGACTGGAACCAGAGACTCGTGAGCAGGAACGTCCTGCACGAGGTGGTGAAGGGGAGGCCTGGAGCCTGGGCCTGGTGGGCCGTGGAGGGGCCTTTGGACTGACCACTGGTGAGCTGGGAAGCCAGTGAAGGGCTTCTGAGCAGGAGACTGAGTCGCTTGGAGTGGGCGTGGGGAGGCAGGCTGCCTAGGAAACTGCTGGGCTCTGTAAGGTCAGACCCTTGGGGGCCATTTGTGCCCCTGGTGCTGGGGGCTCTGCAGGGGAGGCAGGCAGAGGAGATGGAGTGCAGGGTGCTGGCTGTCATAGGAGGGCCTCCCCTAGGGGCTGGGAGGAAGAGCTTCGAGCCCAGGGAGGCTGAGTGAGGACCAAGGCACTCTCAGACCCCGGTGCAGGGAGGTGGGGTTGGGGAGGCAGCAGGCAGCTCCCTCTCAGTGAGTAGAGCCAGACAGTGTCAGGGGCACAGGCTGAGGGTGAGAGAGGGAGAACCTAGGGGCTCGGAGGGAAGCCCCACCCTCCCTGACGGCCTGGAGACAGGTCGCCCTGGACAGTGTCCAGCGTCACGGTGGTCGTGAGGGTGACCATAGGAGGTGGTCTGTCAGCTCCACACGGAGCAAAGGCACAGCCGGCCACGCCTGTCACAACGTGTGATGAATGGTTTCATCGGCGTGTTTTAGTCTCTCACATACACAGCGTCCTTTCATCATGAGATTAGTAAAACATGATTGATGAGACACTTTACAATTTTTTTGGTTGAAGTCTTCAAAATCCACGATGAATTTTACACTCAGAGCGTGTCAGGTTTCAGACTAGCCACTGTGCGGTGCCCGAGAGCCATGTATGGCTACTGGATTGGACAGCATAGACCTGAACAAGAGAGGGATTTTTTTTAATGTGTGTTGATGAGTCAAAGGTCAAGAGCTGAAGAGCCTGGCCTCACTGGGGTGCAGAGGGCTCTGTGGGGGCGGGGCGGGCACAGCATGGACCCTGTACCCTGGAGCTGATGTCCAGGTAGTGGGAGGAGGTGACCGGCTGGGGCAGGCCGCTCTCTCAGAGACGCTCTGTGCAGAAGCGGGGAGGGTGTTGCAGCCCAGCTGCAGAGGTCCCACAGGGTTACCTGGCCACTGGGGGCGGCTGGAGCGGGGAGGGACACTTCAAAGGGTAAAGAAGTAGCAACGTCATCTAGCAAAAGTGACATTAAATAACTGCAATTAATACAGAATTCAAACCTAAATGCTTACATTCTAGGAAAGATACATAATGTTAATTTTTTTCAACAGCAGTGGGGACATGAGATGGGGAAATGGCAGTGTGCTGGTTGCTGCATCTTTCACTGGGAGGGTGCACGGTGTCACTTGTGAAATCCGTGTCTTGAGACCTGAAGTGAAAGGTGTCAGCTGGCCATGAGTGGATGCAGGACGTGCAGGACGTGTGGGGCCCAGCACTGCTGTGAGCAGTAGCCCACCCCGGCACAGCTCTGACCACAGGGTCTCACCCCACAGTGGGACACCTGAGGCTCAGAGGTGATGAATTTGCCTAACATCTGGGGTTGGAGAGGGGAGATCCTGGACTCAGCAGTGAGAAGGGTGAACCTGGGCTTGGCAGTGAGAAGGGTGTGGGCCCACAGTGCCTCCTGTTGAGTGTTGGCATGGCTCCGGACACTCCCTGCCCCATACCTGCTTCCTCGGGCGTCAGGACCTGTTTCTGCCCCAACAGCATTTCCCCACTGAGGTCTCCTGACCACAGAGTAGAAGCTGCTGGGATGGGCGAGCCAGTGAACTCGGGGCGCCTGTTCCTCAGCTTGTGGCCCCAGGTGGGGCAGCCCCTCTGCACTCCAGAAACAGATCATGAGCCGAACGAGCTCCTGCTCTTCGCTCAGTCCCACAGCCTGCCCATGCAAGAGCTCTGCAACTTCTCCTGTGGGGGCTGAGCCACGGACTGGGCAGTAGCATCTGACGACTCCTTCCTGCAAAATCCCCACCCCCTCCGTCAGCAACGCTGTGGCCTCTCTGCCCCTGCACCTCCCTTGCCACACCTGGGCACATGGAGAAGGGAGAGCCGGACAGGCGCCCGCCAAGAGGGGCTGCTCTGTAACTGGGAACCTCACTGAGTTTGCAGCAGGGGCCAGAATTGTGGGGAGCCATTCTAGAGACCCCATTTTCTTAATAGTGCACAGATTGAGAAGTGGCTCCCAGGGCCTCAGCCTATTGGCATGGCAGGCCGGGCAGTGCCCAGCTGAGAATAGCTCACAAGGATGAGTCAAGAGGAAATGAGCGGATGGCAGGAGAGGCCACCATCTGTGGCTGCCTGCCCGGCCAGGCTTGTTCTCAGCACTTCACGGCGGCCAGCTCGGCTCTCACCCTAGCCGCCTCCTGAGGGACACGCGGGAGGTGGAGGCTCAGAGAGGGGAGATCAGGACTCAAACCTGGGCATTTTGATAATCACAGGAGTGAGATGCAGGTGGAGAGCAGGCCAGGAGCCTGCGGCACTTCTCCTGTGAGCTGCCCCCAGGAAGCGCTCGTGTGTTGCCCCTCGCCCCCACTCCTTCTTCCCTCCACATCTCTAGAAATACAGACACTGCGTGCAGAGCACCGGGTGCTGATGTGGCTTAGCCAGCATATCCTGATGCCTGTGGCCTGTCCTTCCTCCAGCCGGGTGACACCCAGACCCCAGCTCCTACACACCCCTGGGCAACCCCGCTTGGCCCCATGGGTGCTGAGCGTGGCTTTGCCAGTGTGTCAGAGGCATCAATTGCTAAAACAATTTGGCAGAAATTACCATTTAGAACATCTTTGCTCTAGAGTTGGACACTTCACTCACGTGTTTGTGGACGAGGCCGGGCAGGCAAGTGAGCCGGAATGCCTCATTCCTCTGGGGCTGATGTCAGACGTCAGTGGCCAGGTAAGTCCCGACTACTGTGTGTGTGGCTTCCTCCTCACCCTGTTCTCCTGTAGGGATGGGGGCTGCGGTCCTCCCGGGAACAGTCACAGCCGTATGGGGTCAGGTGGAAGTGCCAAGGACCCTGAGGTGCTGGGGGCCATGGGTCTCTATTGTACTTTATTCCTCTTGGACAAGAAGTGAATGTCTTGACTCACTTCTAAAACAGAGGTTAGGAGCCATTCTAGGTATTGGGGATGCAGCAGTAAAGTCAGGAATGTGGTCCTTGCTGTGGGTGAGCCAGCCGCACAGTGTCTAGAGGGGTGAACAGGGCCGGTGCTCCTGCATCTGACCCACCTGTGCCTCTGGCTGCCCCGGCCTCCAGCTCTGTGCATCCTCTGTTGTCCGCTCCCACCTGTTTCCTCCCTGGGTGCTTCTGATGGTGGCGTGGGCGTCACCTTGAACTCCCCTGTTTCCCTCCCTGTGGCTCATCGAGGCAAGCTCATCCAGCATCCAGCGCTGGACGTTTCAGGCTCCTCCTTGGCGCCCATCCTAGATGCCTGTCCCAGTCACCAGGCATGGGGTGGAGCATGAAGGTGGCGCTGAGGGAGGGAGCAGGGATTGGTCCAGGCGGAGCAGTGGCGTCGGGCGGCCTCACCAGGTCAAGGCAACCATGGGCAAGAGGCCAGGGGCAGGTGGGATGACGGCCAGGGCCGGCTACACAGAAGCTTCCAGAAGATAGATGGCATCCTTGGGGCTCTTACCACTTTGAGAGATTCGCAGGAGAGAAAGCCAGGCTGCAGAAGCCAGGCAGGTGGCAGGACTTCGGGGAGAAGCGGGGAGAGATGGCTCCAAGCCCTGTCGGCATCCCCTGGTCTCCCAGCCCCTCCCGTCATCACCTGCAGCCAGAGCGAGTGTGGGCTGGCCTTGCACGCGGCCCCACCCCCACCTGAGCCCATGGGCGTGGCAACGGCCCCTTGGCCCCTCCCTGCATGGGCTGAGATGGGCCTCCCTGCGTGGGCTGAGACCGGCCTCCCTGCGTGGGCTGAGACCGGCCTCCATGTGCAGATTGTGCTGGCAGGAGACCCCATGCAGCTCGGCCCAGTCATTAAGTCCAGACTCGCCATGGCCTATGGTCTGAACGTGTCCTTGTTGGAACGGCTGATGTCTCGACCGGCGTACCAGAGGGACGAAAATGCTTTCGGTGCTTGTGGCGCACATAACCCCCTGTTGGTGAGTCACAGACTCCAGCGTGTTCCGGTCCCAGTTAAGCAGACACAGGCTCCGGGGCAGTTGAGCAGCTCGCCCCTCTGTCCACCCGAGTGATCTCTGTCCGTGGGCAGAGTGCAGGAGAGCACCCACCACAGCGCCTCCCCTGTCAGCAGAAACTACAGCTTGGTGCTAATGGCTGAGACTCTGGGGTCAGATACAGTAAAAAGTTAAAATCTGTGTTACTCTGTGAACATAAGAAAAGCAGGAAGTCACTTTTGTGACTTAAAAAGCCTGCCCTAGAGTGACTGCAGGCAGTGTCTCCTCAGTGGTCTCCGACCCCAAGGTCCCACTGAAGTGCAGGTTCTGGGCTCTCAGCCAACCTTGTACCAAATTCTGAGGGATGGGCTTTGGGATTTGCATCTTTGGAGCCCCCAGCACACTGAGCTTGGGCCTCCAGGGCCCATCATTAAACAGTGAACCAAGTAGCCTCAGTTTTTAAGCCCCTGTAGCCCACAGAAGAAGAGTCTCCATCTGATTCCCATTGCCAGTATTAACATCAATAGAAAATGACGGGCAGTTACTGTGGGCGGACTTTCAGGGAAAAGGACTGGACCCCATTCCTGGTTGTCAAGGGTGTAGGGCAGATGGGGGTCTTCAGGCCAAGGAAGGTCTCATGAGGGACCACTCGCAAGACAGGCACCGGCTATGCCAGGGGCCATGAAACTGCCCCCAGGAAGATGGCCAGCTGCAACCAGCTGCTGGGCCTAAAGGGTGCCTGAGAGCTCTGCTGCCCCTGAGAGGTTCGCCTCATTCTCCAGTGCCGCTGCACCCCTCCACGCGCTAGCTACTTTGCTGGAGGTGTGGGTGCAGGTGACGTGTCTGCAGCAGGGGAGACCAGCATGCTGCTGTCACCACCGTCCCCACCACACAGCCTTCAGGGCAGGTGCATGTGGCACACAGCCACAGGTACAGACAGACCCTGCCACACAGGAGGTGAAGGCCTTGTCCTGTGCAGGGCCTGGGCAGTGTCCTGCACCCTCCAACCAGAGTGGCTGCCACAGTGACCCCAGGGGGCGGCATGCTTCCTTTCTTTTCCCCAGCAGCTGCCCGGCTCCAGCTAAGGCAGAGGTGCCATGACTCTAGATCGCATTTGGAGTTTGGAGTAGCACGTTGGAGGGTGGACACATTCTAGTTAGGCTTGACAGAGTCGGGAGGAGTCATGGGGCCAATAATGGCGCGCTCGTGCCAGTATCACCTGGCGAGTAACTGACAGCACCACAGGAACTCAGGTTTTCACCAACACGGGCTTTGTTACTCATCCCAAGGAGGGAGAGCCCTGGGCGTGTTCTCCCCAGCAGTGTCTTCCCGAGGGACAGTCAGTGACAGGAGAGCAGAGGGTGCAGCGTTGCATGCAGAGGACGGCTCCCCATGGCACAGACGCAGCAAGTCCTCATGCCAACACGTGGGTCATGTGTGATGAGCAGTGTCGAGACTGAGCATTACTCTGACTGGTTCAACTCTAGTCCCTGGAGACCTTCCCTGGCTGCCTACACCAGCACCAGGGGAAGAGTGCCTGCCCTGAGTGAGCTTCCCGGGCAAGTTGGAGGCAGACAGTAAACGTGTCCCATGTACTGGTGACATCACAGTCACCCTCGGCCGCATCAGTAAAGTCACAGCCAGGGCTGGCCATGCCCCCACAGTCACAGTGTCTATACTCTCCTGGCCCAGGGGCCCAGGAGCTCTTCCTTCCCTGTGGCCAGCGGAGGCAGGGCTGCGTGGGCCAGCAAGACACTGTTTGCAGGGTGAAGCTCTCAGCACACGAGGGAAGCGTCCATCTGCCCTGCTCCCCGCTGCCGGGTTCCAGGTGGCAGGAACCCTTTGAGAGGCCCCTCAGCCCCACCCAGACCCAGGAGAGGAAAAGAGGGTGGCTGTCACACCCTTTTCTTCCTGATGTTCTCATTTTTCTATTCAGATGGACCCTTGGCTTCACCATCATCCAAGGGCTTGGTCTGGGGGCAGGTGACACACAGGGGCACAGGGGCAGAGTCGGGCTTGGAAGTCAGGCGGGCCTCACGTTTGCCGTGCAGAGCCGCTTTTCCTTTGACAGAAACTGTGCCAGGTGCCACCTTCCCCTTGTGACCCATCACCCTCTCCTTGTAGGTCACAAAGCTGGTGAAGAACTACCGGTCCCACGAGGCCCTGCTGACCCTGCCCTCACGGCTGTTCTACCACAGGGAACTCGAGGTCTGTGCGGACCCTACAGTGGTGACCTCTTTGCTGGGCTGGGAGAAGTTGCCTAAGAAAGGCTTCCCGCTCATCTTCCATGGTGTGCGGGTGAGTTGTGTCTTGAACCCGGAGGGGACCATGTCGGGTAAGGACAGTGTGGCAGGAGGTCCTTGCTCCCAGGTGATGTGGCGGGGCAGATGCTCCGCTGGTCACTGGAGAGTGAAAAGCCATCAGGGGCTTGTGTCCCCCAAGATGGATGCCGACTTCTCCTGCCAGATGAGTTGTGCCTGGTACCAAGGGGACGACATGGGCACCACTCTCAGGTGGTCACAGCAGATAAGCACTGGGCTCCAAGAGAAGCAAAGCTACCCAGTGAGCTCTGGGGGGCCTGGGGAAGCTTGCAGGGCTGTGTGACGGGATACCCTGGGGCCGCAGGAAGCTCCCGGAGGCCGCCTCCGCCTCCCTCCTGGTGCTTCCCTCGAGGGTTGGAGCTGTCAGGAGAGAGCCGGGCAGGGAAGGCAGCAGCCGCAAGCCCGAGCCCTGTGCCTGGGGCCTGAGGAGTGACGGGCCACCACCCCCTCTCTGAGGCCTCATGGAGGGACAGAGTTAGATGCTGAGTGGCCAAGCAAAATTACAAGCATTCACTAAAATGAGATAGTTTGTATTAGGAATTTAGTTAGAAGCAGAAATCAAGTTTTGCATTAACCCCCTCCCCCAGAGGAAGGGGCATTCATGGTATCTGCAGTGAGGGCTGCACCCGGGCCACAGGGGGACCCTGGTGCAGGTGCCCCTTCCATGCCACGGGCCCTGGAGGACAGGGGTCCAGGCTACACCACTCGGCTGCCTCGGGGCCTCTGCATTCCATGCCCCACCCAGCCATGGCCCCCAGTTGCTCTTCGTAAGTTCCTGAGGGAGAAAATCTGTCTGTGACCTGTCCAAAGCAGTGGGGTGGGACGTGTGTGTGGTGGCTGTGGGGTGCTCACATCTGGAAGGGAGGGAGTCCTGAGGGGCTCTGCAGTGAGTCGGACACCTCAAGACATGGTGCTCTCTGAGGCAGGTCCCTCCCCAGCAGTGGTCTCCCGCCATCTGTCCTCCTAGCTCTGCCCATCCTCAGAAGCTTTCCTGGGTATCAGGAAAACACACTAGTGGCCAGGCACAGGGGCTCGCCTGTAACCCCAGCATTTCGGGAGGCTGAGCCAGGAGGATTGCTTGAGCCTAGGAGTTCAAGATTAGCCTGGGCAACATAGTGAAACTGCCATCTCTTTAAAAAAAAAAAAAAAAAATTTTTTTTTTAATTAGCTGCGCATGGTGGCATGTGCCTTTGGTCTCAGCTACTTGGGAGGCTGACGCAGGAGGATCGCTTGAGCCCAGGAGATTGAGGCTGCAGTGAGCTATGATTGCATCACGGTACCCCAGCCCAGGGGACAGAGTGAGACCCTGACTCTTAAAAACTATGTAACTAAATAAAAATAAATGCATGGAGACTGTCACTCAGCAGCTCTGTGTCCTGACCTAGGATCTGTCACCGGGTAGGCCATGGTGGAGAAGAGGAGTGAAGCCTCTCGTTCTCATTGTGCTTCTCATCAAATTATCCTTGGGTTTCTAGTTGTTCTTGTCTTACGAATTTTAACTGCTGTGTTTCATGCATACAATTTATCATTGCTTTATCTTCCTCCTTATGTAATACTCTTCCATACCGTCCTGTGTGTGAGTGTTAAATTTCACCTCGTAATATTAACATTGCCGTTTTTTTATTTTTACATGGTATGTCTTTGCCCTCTGTTTTCATTTTTTATTGTATTTCTTAGGAGCAGCTAGGTTTTTATATTTAATCCATTTTGGGAGTCAGTTTGCTTTTAGAGACATAAATCAGTCCAGTCTATAGTGATTTCACATTATTTCTTCTTTACCTTTCCTAGTTATTTATTTTATTTCCTGATTCTTTCTAGTTGGTTGGTTGCTATTCATTGAACTGTTTCTCAGTTTAGAAGTTTCTGCTATAAGTTTCCATCCCATTAATCTTTTAAGTTTCTTCAGTCATTTATTATTTACAATAAATGAGTAAGTTACATGGTTTAACAACAACAACAAAATTAATTCTTACTGCTTTATCTGGTGGTCACTTTTTTGGGTTTTGTTTTGTGGGGGTTTTTTTGGTTTTGTTTTGTTTTGGTTTTGGTTTTTTTTTTTTTTTTGGTTTTATTTTTGAGACAGAGTTTTGCTCTTTCACCCCAGCTGGAGTGCGGTGGTGCAATCTCGGTTCACTGCAGCCTCCGCCTTCCATGTTCAAGCAATTCTCATGCCTCAGCCTCCCAAGTAACTGGGACTACAGGTGCCTGCCACCACATCCAGCTAATTTTTGTATTTTTACTGCTTTATCTGGCAGTCACTTTTTGGGTTTTTTGTTTGTTCATTTAGTTTTGTTTTGAGACAGGGTTTCATTCTGTCGCCCTGACTGGAGTGCAGTGGCGCAATCTTGGCTCACTGCAACCTCTGCCTCCCAGGTTCAACCAATTCTCACGCCTCAGACTCCCAAGTATCTGGGACTACAGGTGCCGGCCACCACATCCGGCTAATTTTTATAATTTTAGTAGAGGGGGTTTCAGCATGTTGGCCTGGCTGGTCTCAAACTCCTGACCTCAAGTGATCTGCACGCCTTGGCCTCCCAAAGTGCTGGGATTACAGGCGTGAGCCACCGCGCCCAGCCTGGTGGTCACTTTTTTAAATTGTAGGGCTGGACGTGGCTCACATCTATAACCTCTGCACTTTGGGAGGCCAAGGCAGGCAGATTGCTTGAGCCCAGGAGTTCAAGAACAGCCTGGACAACATAGCAAGACCCTATCTCTACAAAAGATACAGAAACTATCTGGGCATGGTGGTGCACACTTGTAGTCCCAGCTACTCAGGAGGCTGAGGTTTCAGTGAACTGTGATCATGCCCTGGCACTTTAGTCTGAGCGACGGAGTGAAACCCTGTCTCATTCATTCATTCATAAAAAAATGTATACATAATATAAAATTTGTCATGTTAAAAACTTTTTTTTTTTTTTTTTTTGAGGCAGTCATCTCACTCTGTCACCCAGGCTGGAGTATAGTGGCATGATCTCAGCTGACTGCAACCTCTGCATCCCAGGTTCAAGCAATTCTCATGCCTCAGCCTCCCGAGCAGCTGGGACTACAGGCGTGCCCCACGATGCCCAGCTAATTTTTGTGTTTTTAGTAGAGACGGAGTTTCACCATATTAACCAGGCTGGTCTCGAACTCTTGACCTCAAAAGATCTGTCCACCTCGGCCTCCCAGAGTGCTGGGATTACAGGCATGAGCCATCACCCCCAGCCTCCATTTTTAAGTGTAAAGTTTAATAGTGTTAAGTATATTCACATTGTTTTGCAGCCTGCAGAACTTTTATTTTTTTGAAACGGAGTCTCGCTCTGCTGCCCAGGCTGGAGTGCAGTGGCCGGATCTCAGCTCACTGCAAGCTCTGCCTCCCGGGTTCAC